TCTCCGCTTCTTCCGCCTCCTCGGCGCTTCTTTCGGCTCCTCTGTCGAATCCTTCGCGACGTGGCCAGTGTCCTCCTGCACTCTTTTGACGCCCTTCTCCGCATCGACTGGACCTGCATTGCACACCACGGATCCTAGGGACGCACTTGCTTCCTCCATTTCCGCAGCCTGCATCTGAGATTTGAAGTGTGCTTGCACTTCTGCTTCAGCACGCGCCATCTCGGCGAGCTCGTCTGCGTTTCCTTCTGCGCCAGATAGCTCGCCCTTCATGCGCGCGATCTCCCTTGCCAAACGTGCTTCCCGCACCTTAAGCCACTCCATGTAAGCCATCTTCTCGAAGTGATCGACGATAAAGGTTGCCAGTTGTGAGCACAGAGCTTCTGGATACTCCGCTGACTCCTTTGAGTTTTCCAAGTTGACTTGCTTGTGCCCGCTGCTTTTTGCGCAGCTGCATGCGGCGGAGAGCTTGTTGATCTGGAGGATGGATCCTAAGAAGCGTTGAGGTTTGAAGAACCGATCACTTTCCGGCAGCTCTTCCTGGTAGGCACAGGTGGGGAAGGCTGCCCATTTAAGCCGCCCCTCCCGCAGACCCTTCTCGGCGAACGCTTCCACTTCTGGCAGTTCCCACGCTGACAGGTGCTGAGGATGTTCCGACGGCGGTGGGTTTTCCAGCGATACTGGTGGATCTAAGCCGGAAGGGGATGGGGCGTTAAGAATCGTCTCGGCCATCAGGACTGACCTCGCTGCAAAGATGGTGCCTGCGTCTGCTTCAGCTTGTCTGACAAGGCCTTGGCCAACGATGCCATACGGCTCCTGTTTGGATCGCACAGGAGGAGGTCCCCCTGGCAGCGATCTCCACCTTGCCCGTGTGAAGGTAGCGCAAGGGAATCCCGCATGATAGCCATCGAATTTTGCTGCCCTCGCCTTCTCCAGCTGTTCCGTGAAAGGCTGGGTAGCTGCCAAGTCCGCTCCCAAGGTGAGATCACAGGAGACCACCTCGATCTTCAGCTTTCTGGATTCTGCTGCCCGTCTGAGCGCTGCGCCCAAGGGGTCCTTGGGTCCAGAGAAATGGTGCAAGTAAACGAAGACTCTGTTGGACAAATAGGCCTCGAAAGTTGGAGTCGAGGGTGCCCGGAGGAACTTCTCCAGTCGGTCATGTCCCTCTTCACCATCATCCTCGCCCTCATCGCCCGCACCATTCCCCGAACCGACCTTGCTCTGGCTTGAGGTGGTTCCTGGCTTCGAAATCACCCCAGTAGGTCTCTTCATCAAAAGTGCAGCCACAAAAATCCAAGCAAAGATGTCTTCGCCTGCTTGCTCGGTCAGGGTTTCTTCTTTTGAGGGCAATCCTTTGATGGATGACCTGGAGAGCCGCACCCAGTACAAGAGTGATCTCTCTTCACTTTGCCTTGGCAGGGCGTACCTGGGGGCAAGCCCGCACATGGACCATTTCCATTGTTCCAGCCAAAGCAACGCTGTAGACCAGAAGGAGCTACCACGCCAGCGCTGTGCCCTGAACTTGTGGCGGCGCTGGCGTTGCCTTTCCCAGCGCCTTTGCCTGCGCCCCCTCCTCCAGGTTTTCCACTTCCTTGGTCCGAAAGGGAAGCGGTGCGCTGCACGTTGCCCTTGGCTCTCTTCCTTTTCTTCACCGATGTCTTTGTATCTTGGGGTGCTGTGTACGCAGGAAGGCCGCCTTGCAGTGTCGCCATGTACTCCTCTTGGGGTGTGTGCAAGGCCCCCTTTCCCCCTCTCGCGAGCCATGTGAGAGCGGGCTGGTGGAGTTGTTCTTGCCAATAAGCTTGATCGTCGACTATCGCTTTGAAGACCGCTTCCCATGGATCCGCCTCCGTCCACGAAGTCGGCGTGGCCTCCCCTGCCGCTGCCTTCATCGCGAATCTGTGTGCCCATCTTGCCGACAATTCGGCCCTGGCTCTGTCCTCGGCCGCGTACACCAAGTGCCAACAAGACGCGTACCTCCTCGCGAAGCGCTCCACCATCTCCTGGTAGTTCTGCAGGGATGCCAAAGTCACTGCATTCAACATCACCAGCGCCGTGCGGTAAACCTTGAAACAAGCGCTCCATTGCACTAGAGAGGCGGGTCCAGGAAGTTCTCGAACCTGATATTCTCCGTCTCCTCTGGGGACATAAGACCGATAGCGACTTGCCTTGGAACTCCGCCGCGCAAATGGAACGAAGATGGCGAAGTCTGCATATGGAGGGTGGCCGGCCTTGATCCGCCGTTGGAGTGCCAAAAACTGTTCCAACGTGGGCTCCGTTTCCTCGGTGGGAGGGCCTCCCATAATCGTGACATATCTCTCCAACGCTTTCCGGAAAACCTTCGTGCCCTCCGCAGTTACAATCATCTCGGAGTCGTCCCCCTGGTCGATGACGCTCGCCAATTTGATTTTGCGCTCCCCCTCCGCCGCGCTTGTTGTAGAAGTCGTGGTAGTCTGGGTTGCTGCTGAAGCCGTTTCCCACGGGTTCGGGTCTATCCAATGGGCAATGTCTCCGCCTCCCGCTATCCACATATTTCTCCTCGCCAATCTCCAAACTAGTCCGACTTGAGCCGCTTGAACAACATTCAGAGAGGAACCATCGGCCAAAGCGCATGTCTCCACGGCTTGGGCGAGGATTTGAGGTGGAATCGCCGCCAAGTTGCGAGGCTCCCCACCGAACGATCCCAATTGATGTTCGACAGCGTCCCAAACCACCTGCGTTACGCCATAAAAGGCCAAGAGATCGTTGATTGCGCGCATGGCCGCCGCTGCTGCAGGTGTGGGAAACATGAATGCGGCTCGCGAGGAGTGAAAGGGAAAGCCAGAAAAATTTCATGCTCGGTTGGCTACAACCCACTCGAGCACTATAGGTCGCCATCCCCCAACACTGACGTGAATTGTCCTACATAACAACTTCGCCAGCACATTTGTTATTGCGCCGCAAAATACACTACATGCCTGCAATCAATGCTGCAGTACTGCTGTGGACACCATGGCTACGAAAGTCTGCTCAAAGACAGAATTTCTCGCACACCTTCCCTACAGGTGGACAAATCGATGAAAGCCAGTGAGACCCGGTCACTGGTATTCAGTTGATGTGGTAGGCAATGTGGGCTTTCGTGATTGGCGTTTCAAGCTCAAATGGGATTCGGTCTCGGTGTTTGAGATCAATTCACCCCTGCCTTTCGAACTTCGATTGTAATGGGTGCGGTGGTCGTAGGAGCGGAGTCTCGTGTTCTTTTTGCCTAGTTAGCCCAGTTTGAGACCAGGACCCCATTTACGAGAATGAGCTGCATCAACTTCTTGTATGAGCGGGGTGGACACAATGGTAGCCTGTCCGAGGCACATTTGTCTTTGATAGTCTCCCCGTTATGGGTGGGAACAGCCATGCAATGACCCAGCCAGCTATTGATGGCGGTGGATAGCCAAGCTCTTATTTCCAGTTATCATTGAGGATGCTGTATCGGGTGGTCCAGACAATCCCGATCTTGGCAGGCATCTCGCCCGTCATCACGGTGATCACGCTCCCTTGATGGCCTCTGCATTGGCGTATGGAATCTCTGATCAGTAAAAACACAAGAGCTGGTTGTCCGCAGGGACTCATTTGTCAGCTTAAGCACGGGAATCGTCCCTTCACGGCTAAAATAACTGTTCGTCCAGTCCGCGAGCTCAGCTTCCAACTCTCCCAACCAATATGCGCACTGCGAAGCTCTTGTTGGAAACCTTCTTGCGGTTATCTCTAGGGCGCTGGTGTCGGTGAAGCAGTTGCCGCGGGTAAGTTGGTGGCGGCTCAGAATGATGTTTACGTTCTGCTGCGGCGATGTAATCTCTCAGGAGATCCTGAATGGTGCAGATGTACACAACAGCCTCTCGTCTTTGGTTGCCACCTAGGCTGTTCTTGCTGTGGGGGAGTTGTGGACCTACCGCCGGCAGGAGTGCCTTTCGGGCTTCCGCCCTGCCCCGAGAGCAGGTTCCTGAATCGACACTCAAGGTCTCCGGCCCCGTGGCAGGGCGCGTTGCAACGCCGCAACGCAGACACTTGCGTTTTCTTTAACTCAGCAAGTATTTCCTTCTTTCCTTGATCAAAAGGTTAGACTTGACGATGAGAAACTTGCCTCCGCGTCACGATGGACAACGAGGCCTTGTACGCGTACAGTAGAGATGCTGAATTGCATCGCTCAGCATCGTCCGGGGCGCGATCATCTGCGTCTACGTCGGCCAATAACGCATGGCATGCATCCAGAAAGATGGCCATTTCTTCATCAGACACAGCATCCATGTCTTCGTAGTAGGCCGTGGGCTCCTCCATGGGAGCGACAGTTGCCATGGATGATGCCATGTAGTCTGACTCTTCACGGTCCAATCCTGTCCATCCTGCGCCACACCCGTCTTCTAGGCTGATGGTTGGGTCTCGTCGCGGGTCGGGCCCCATGATCTGTATGGAGATTGGAGCCACGAACGGCTCCCCGAGATGGTCGTTCCAATCTCCTGACCGCTGACGAGCTTCCCCTTATGTGAACTGGAGCGTGATGTTGTGTGAGTACCCTGACGTATCGCCAACGGTTTTTTGTTGGGGTTTTGTTCCGGAGTAGATTTGCTGTCATTGCCTCTGAGAGCCTAACCTCTGGGTCGAGCTCCTGGAGTGCTTCGTTCAGCTTCTAATTCTCCTCGTGACGCCCTCCATCTGCTGTGGTTCGTGTATCTCAGAGCGTGGCGTTTTGCACTTGCAACGCTGTCGACTTACTGAGTCAGAAAGAAAAACTGTTTGCTGCCCGGTGAGCTTCGAGTTACTCTGTTGATCAATCCATGATTTCCTATTTTGCTGAGACACTTCATCCCAATTCTGGATCAAAGTTTTTTGTAGTTTGTTTTCCCTTCGATTGCAGCTGCAAGCGCTGCACATTTCTCAGTTGCTTCCAGCGTACTTGTATGCCCAGCCGTCTCCAGAACGTGACTCAACGAAGACTCGGAACTGCGGAGTTGTGGAGTTGGCTCAGTCCCTGCCTGCTGTGTCAGCGCCCAGAACCAGAGCTGCCAAGGCTGCCACCGCTTCAGCCTTTGCTCTTGCGAGATGGTAAAAGCAAATCTGCCGTCGGAACATAAAGTGAACATCGAGCCTCCAAGTTGGACGGACTTCGTGCGGCAACCATGTCAACCAGAGGTTGAATGTGACTGTGCTCCTGCTCTTGACCTCCAGGAAAGGAGCTGAGCGTCAACACAAGTCTGCCACAAACGCACCACCAGTCTGACACGAACAAATAAGCCTGTGCTGGCAATGTTGTCACCAAGCGTACCCGCTTCATCACCAAGACTCTTGCCCTGCACAAGTAACTTCGCAGACGCCACGACGGGCACTTGCAGTCAAAGTGCGGCAGGTGTACCGTGTCCCTCGACCGCAAGTACTTGGAAGCCTGCACTGGACCGCTGCAAACACTGCAATGTCTCATCCAAGTAGACTACCGGTAGGAAAAGGTTGTGGCGAACATCCACTCTTTTCTTTGGTTGGGGCGATGATGACAGGACAATGCCCTTCCACTGGCAAGTGCTGTGCCCGTGCTTGCTGACTCTGCTGATTGGGCTGGAAAGGGGTTCTAAGTAGATGAATGTGAACATCCAATCACTTTCAGACTTTAGGGATGGGAGTTGCCTCCCGTGCCAACACACAAATCCACTTTCTGCATGAGGACATACAACAAGAGGTTAAGAGAGCGAGACTGAAACATGCCACGCCAAACCAACCACAAGCTCTCAACAAAGTAGCACCCTTGCTTGGAGAGATGCGCTCAGAATGGCTCATTACATACATGCAGACGACCAAGTAGGAACATCCACTCACTTCTTCTTCTACTGGCTATGCCCAGCCCCGAAAGGATGATCGGGGGCTACGCCCCCTAGCCGTGCACAAGTCCTGTCAAGTCGGCACACATCCACTTACTTTCTTTCTTTCTTTCGTTCAGGCTATGGAGAAGGGGAGGAACCCCCTCTCCGGGCGTCATTGCCCAGCCCGTGTTGGGCTCCACTCACTCTCCCTCTCTCTCTCCTTGTCCCTCCCCACGCACTCAAAGTCAAAAAAGTCCCTGCGCAAGTCACGCGCAAACGTTCTGCAACATCGAAATCTAAGTAGTCCCCTACCTTTTTGCTGGATGTCTTGACATGCTCATTGTTAGAACGAGCCTCATCAAATGCGTGCGCAAAGGCAAGCGCATCGCCGCTGCATCTTCTGAACCTGTCATGCAAACGGGTACATCCACGGTCCAAGGAATCTTTGGAGCAGAGGAGCAGGCTCTTCTTGTCCCTCAGAAATCCTTAAGCTGCCTTTGCTGACGCTATTCGTCGCGCTTGGCAGAGACGTACAGCGGTGAAATGTGATGTAAGCTATGCATCTGTCGGTGCCACGGGAGCTTGCGGCAATCCGTAGCCCGCACCTCCCAGCAGTACGAGAAAGCACACTTGTAGAGAACCAATGAGAAAATCACGGCAGATTGCGCGAGCTTTGCCTGCGCACCTGGACCTAGATCAGCTCCATAACCTCCTGCCGTCCAGGTCTTGTCCGCCCACTGATCCTCAGTTTCGCAGGAAGGGCTTCCGCAACATGCCATAGACTTTAGTAAGAAGAGACTTCCACCTCAAGGCAACCGAGCTTCAGATTTTCCATCCCACCAGTCATCCCTCCAATGGCTCTGACCCTGGAGCCGCAAGGGCACTTACGCAAAAGGTCACCGCAGCAGACTTCTCATGATTGCGACGACACATCTCATCAAAGCCTGCCACCACTCTTCCCACTCTTCATCAGACCATTGCTGGCGAGAGGACCACCAGTCATGCCACTCCTCATTTGCTCCAAGCTGTGGGCGGGATTAAATGTCTCTTCGCAGCTCTGACCACCTGATTCCGCCAAGTCACTTCATTTGTCCACGCCTCCCATTGTTTGACTGTCCAGTCTACCTCGCTATCGCCAATTCGCTCCCACCCAGGCTGATGCCACTGCTCCGCTAAGAGCTGCTGAATCTGAGGCGCATGTTTGCAGCTTGTGAATGGAAAGGTCAGTTGTCTGAAGTGTGGATAGAAGGTCTCTGAAGCAATTCAAGATCCTGCCTCTGGACTTTCTTTGAGTCCTCTAGGGGCACAAAGCTTTGCGCAACGGACACACGCTGAGCAGACCAATTTCGCTCTGATCTCTCAACCCAGTCCAAGAACATATTCAATCCACGGATGGTACCTGAGGCCACACCAAGGCATCTTTCTGGGTGATTTCAACTGAATTTGCTGCTTCTGCTGGGACACTCCACCAGTCGCAGCAAGGCATGAACAATTCCGGATGTCTCTACATCTCCAGTGTCTTGGGCGTATTGAAGCATGGCCTGGACAGGTCTTCAAGATTGTTTTGCAGGGACATGCGTTTCTTAAGGGCAAGACGGCAAGAAGGACAGGCGGCGCTTGACAACATGAACAGCTTCCAAATGTGGCTTTGCTCTCAGCAGCAAGAACCTCCCTTCTAGAATGCTTGCAGCATCTTGCAGCCACGACGTGACAGACCCCAGTACCAGCCCACCCGTTAGCAATGTCCTGTACGGCGCGCAGCAACCAACACGAAACGGATCACGGTGTACGGAATCGAATCCTTGTATAAATCGGTGGCCGAAAAGATTTGGGTCAGACGTTCCTCATTTCAGGTCATTCCTATCATAACGGATCAGGTTCCGTGATGCCAACCAAATCAAGGATTGAACCAGACTCTGGGATTGAGGCCTACACTTGGCCTGAAAGTTTGAATCAGCAACAGCAGGTGAGATCTAAAGAACCGTAAACAACCCTCGACAAGCCTACGGCCCCAAGCCCGGACTGACCCCCGAGCCCTAAACAAGCTCCAAACGACCCCAAACCCTAAACCTTACAAAAAAATGCAGCCTTAAAAAACGCAAGCCTTAAATATGAGAAAAGTGACACGAAACGACCACCGTCAAAAACCAAAGCCCAAAACCCTTAACAACCCTAAATCCCAAACAAGGGTGAGGGACCATTTTGGAACACCAATCCGCGTCATTTTAAAGCACCGATCAACGTCATTTTGGAACAGAATACCAGAATTTGGTCATTTTGGAACACAAAAAGATGAATCCTATCATTGCCCCAATAGTCCAAGCTTCGCACCATTAGTCCAAACTACGGCCCTTTAGTTCAAGCTGCGTCCAAGTAGTCCAACAGTCCAGGGGTGTGAGGAGTCCTGATTTGATGCAAACATACAGATATATTTATACATCATCGCACCATTAGTCCAAGCTATGCCCATTAGTCCAAGGGTGTGAGGAAGTTCTCATTCAAACTTTTACATCGCCTCATTTTACAAAGGGCAGGGAGCGTATCTACACCTCCGGGCCGAAGCACCTGCGGAGATGCAGTGCCCAGCTCAACTGTGCACAGCTATCTCATGCCTGAGCTTGCTTTGCAAGTTCTTGCACCAACTACATTACATCCAACCTCTGGAGCAATGGCCAATGCTCCCAGTAGATGGTTATGACAGCTCTGCCTCCTGCGATTGTCTCAATCACCATTAAGTCTTAGAAAGAGAATTCCTAGAAAGGCCTCCTTTCATGGAAAACATATCCCAATTGCAGTAAGAGGCTGGAGATGGGCTGGGAGTGGCAGTCGCAACCTCAGTCGCCATTGAGAAGAAGAAAAGACAATTCCTAGAGACGCCTCCCTTCATGGAAAACATGTGCCAGTTCCAGTAGGAGGGTGAATCCTTGCCGGGCGTGCCAGGAGAACCACCTGAAGCCTTCGGCGGCGGAGCCTGAGATTGTGGCTTCTGTTCTGCAATTCATTCAAAGAAAAAACATCTTCTGAACAAGGCTAGAAATAGATACGTTAGCCAGGATACCAGATTTCCTAGGCTGAGCTGCTGCTGGTGCTGCTGCTTTGGCCCCTGGCACTGGCACTGCAGGTGGCATCACTGGGACCTTGGAAAATGATGTAGCATGAACAAAATAAAACTGGAAAAGAATGATTGTTACGAGGGTAGATTTAAAATACTGTATACATTGAATCCGGGTTGCAACCGGATGTGGAGCAGCAACCTTCGCATTCGCAGGCACTGCCATTGCCTGACAGGAAAGGTATGCTCGACAGTCACAACCCTCATTAAGAGGTTGCCAGGTTTTCTCTCTTAAGCGCTGCTACTAACTCTGCCCCCAACACACTGTCTTCTGTAGAAGAGTCCAAGTCACTGGTCCACGGGGTCCGATCATCTTCGGTTTGGCCCAGGGGTTCTGCGCGGCCTTCGCAAAGGCTTCATTCTGAACCATACAGAATGTCTGACAAGGAAAATCTAGCAACGTATATGGGAATGTTTAATGAATTTGATGGCCATCCCTGAGCCTCAAGCCTCTTGAATAGTTTTGACAGCCTATTGAGGCCCTCCCCTCCAAGACAACACTCTAGGTCGCGATCATCCACTCTGGCCTCACACTGCTGCTGCTGGCTCCCCCGGCCGCGTTTCCGGCCCTTAATCAGGGCGTCGGTCAGCGGGCGCTGCCAGCACTCCTCTTTGTCGTCCATGGCGCAGCACTGGAGACACAACAAATCTATTTTCTGATGCTATGAGGTACCTCAACCCTAAATCCTAACCTCTCATGTCGGAATAGACGCTGCACCCCTAGACTCTACCTACCACACGTAATCCCCTGCATAACTGCTGAATCCTACAGAAGAACATCCTCTCAACTTAGTAGTAGTAGTAGCAGTAGTAGTAGCAGCAGTAGTAGCAGCAGTAGTAGTAGTAGTAGTCGTCGTCGTGGTCGTAGTAGTCTTCACGTTACTCTACTGGCAACACACACTCATGCTTGACAAATCGTATCCCTGCTTTGAGCCACGGGTTAAATTTAGCCCAAGTTTGGAAAGCTGGTCAGTACTGCATCAGATTTAATAGTCTTGGTCAGGCGGCAATGCTTCCTGGAGTCGCTGACATAAACACTTGGAGGTCAAACTATAGGGAGCGTCAAAGAAGGACACCAAGTTCTTGGGAGCGCATTGCTTTTAATTGTCTTTGCAGGGTTTTGCAGGTGATCCTGAATGTGAGTGGCAATTGCGCCTCAGCATGGCTCGAATTTTGAATTTAACCCTCGCCATGGAAGGCGCTTAGTGGCCATAGCTAGAACCTTCGCCATGGAAGGCGCCTATTTCATCAGAATTCCAACCCTCGCTATGGAAGGCGCTTGCCCTCATTGTGGAAGGGGCTTGCTGTTCTTCATATTGCTTGGGCTTTACGGACGCATGCTTGCAAGAAGCAACACAGGGAGTTTATATGGGATCCATTTGGTTTATAGCCTCACCTGGTCGGATTGCACATGACCACACGCAAATTGGAGTTTTTGGAAGGTTTCCGTTCATGATCTGCACTGTTTAGGTGAGGGGTTTGAAATGCGAATAATATCATCCCCTTCAGCCCAAACCCTGGCAGCACACACTCGGAGTCCTTGGCTGCCCCAGTCGTTGGACGATGGCCCATCGGTTTGGAGCCTGGCACGGCCTTGCGCCGGGGGTTGGTTCAGGTTTGCCTTTCAGAAATTCTGTATTTTAAATCCTAAATCTTAAGCGCTGTGGCACGGAAACCTAAGTTCGAAACCCAAACCCTACGTCCTCAGATGATATCAGACATATCTACGTAGGAACTATTTATGATATAGCGCATGCACATATATAAATGAATGTCTCCGCGCATGGCCAGCCAAGTTATATGATGAACTTATAAGGAACCACGCCGGATTATCCAAACCTTTACTGTGCATCCCAGCTAGAAACTCTACAGTTCATGTAGTGAGCATCTCTAGATGGCCTCAGGCCCATATATTGTATTAACCAATTTAGATATATATTAATTGACAATTTGGAAACAAGGCTTCGAGGATCTTCAGGGCTCAACCAGAACTCTTCTTGACAAACATGCATTGTCTTCCCAAACCCTTAATCCTATCCCTCGAGTCCTAAATCTTAAGCGCTGTGGCACGGAAACCTAAATTCAAAACCCAAACCCTCTGACATAAACCCTAATCCCCTAAACTCTCACTAGGGTTCCTGGGATCCATGAGATACTTTACAATTTTGAGAAAAGGTTTTGAGGATCTTCAGGGCTTGATCAGAATTATTCTGAAAAAACATGCATTGTCGTCCTTAACCCTAAACCCTAACCCTTGAGTCCTAAATCTTAAGCACTCTGGTACCGAAATCTAA